GGCGAGCCGAGCTCTCGCGGCAGGTTCTCCGGGGGCTGCTCAGCAGGCTCAGCTAATCTGCGCTCGGGTTATTATCCCCTGCGCCCGGGTGCAAAGGAAAATAAGTAGCTTTCAATCTTATGACCCGTCTACCCATGGGGAGTTCATCTGAGCTCAAACGGGATTTGCCGAAATAGGCAGCGCTCCTGATGCCAGTTGCTGGCTGGGGCTCCTGGGGGGGTTGGTGCGTGTGGAGCAGGGCGGTTGTGTGGGACGGGCATGCAGAGGGCCAGGCTGTGCCCTTCCCACCAGCGGTCCCATAAACCTCCTGGGACTGGCGCAGGAGCCCTGGGCTGGCCCTGCTTTCCTGGCTGTTCCCAGCACCTTTCTGAGAGGCCCACAAGCTGCTTGCTCCAGTGGGTTTTACAGACCATGTTCTTCTCATGTGCTCCACCAACAGCATCTTTTCCAGTTTTTCCCAGTAGCATGCTGGTGCAAGAGACTTCTCCAGGGCCTCGCGCCATCTCTGCCTGGCTTAGCTGGAGAGTCTAAGCCTCCATAACTATTACTGACCTCTGTAAAACATTTTTGGCTACAGCCCACATGAAGTATAATACTTAATTTTAATGAGTATTCAGTGCTTTGTAGAAACTTCCTATTAGTGACTTTCCACACCTGTGCCTTCCAACAAACCTGAGGCATTTGTCTGCAGGGGAGGTTCCTGGTATGATGAAATAGCAGTCAGCATGGAAGAAACTTGATCAAAAGAAATATCCAGTGCCATAGCTATCAGAAAGGGAGATGGTTTATTTGACTGAGTGTTGCACAGGAAACCAGCAAAAAGTTCCACATTGCAATCACTGTGATACCACTTCCCATCCTGGCACTGGGCTAGTCACGCAGAACAGCATCCCTCTTAATTAAAACTTGGGTGTCTAGCCTAAGATAATTGTTTAGTCTCCTTCTGTACTCCATAGAAGGAGATAAACCCCTTCAGAGGTGATTCATTTTAACTGCCTATCTGGAAAGAATGACTTCTTGGAGGTTCTCTGGCTCTAACGAAAAAGAACATTTAGATAACCAGTATAGTTTGCATGCCTAACTCCTAGGTAACTGAAGCTAAATGAGCTGAACCTCACCCTTAGTTTCTTTTGTACTTGTTGCTTTGTTGAATTTGTGCTTTCATGCATCAAAGCCTCAGTTTCTATAGCATGAAATCTCTTCATATTCATTGTCACCCATTCTGCATGAGTGGTGGACAGAGTCAGGCCAAGCCCTGTAAAAATCACATCCCTTAATGGAAATAACCTCCCCCACCACCCCCAAACTAGCAGGGCATTTGCAAAATAAAATGGGTTAACATAGCAGGAAAAATGGAACAGGGAATGGGAAGAATGAGAAAAGTATGGCAAGAATGTGGAATGAAGACCATAGAGGTGGAAGGAGAAATTCCAGTGAAAAAATACATACATTTTTGTACCATCTGCTTATGCTAACTTCACTTTCAGGAGGGGAGGAAGGAAGATAGAGTGGGCCCTTTGGTCTCATAGGCAGGTCCTGTTCAGGCACATGTTTAATCACAGTCATAACTGCAGGTACCTATGTAGATCCCATTGACTTCAGTGACATTTAACGGCATGCTGGAAGTTAGCATTGTGCTTAAAATGCTACCCTAAGTAGGCAAACTTTCTCGAAATGTAGCCACATAGCCCAGGCCTCCCTTTAGCTTGGAGAACGTGTATTTTAAACTAATTTATCCCCAAGGGAGATTATACTTAAAACACAAGAAAGAAAGGGTTCATGAACTCAGATTCATTTTCTGAACTGTCTGAACCCAAAATTAGCTAGAGAGGTTTGCAAACCCTTGAACTTTGTAAGGCTCATCGTGCCTGAACTGAGAAGAGCAATTAGACCTTAGAAAATTAAATATACTCCCTGTTTTTCGGCTTCAGCACAGCTGGAGGGCCTGATCCTGTTCATTCCCTCTACGGCACCCACATGGCTTCACTCCCACACAAACCTCTGGCTGTAGATGTGTCTTGGACTGTGCAGTTATCTTTCTGCATGCATTTGAGCTTCACCATAACAAATGGCAGACAAGCACAATCTACTTACCAGAAATTCATACACTGAATTATTCAGGAGGAGTTATTCTTCTCACTCTTAATTTTTCATGTAAAAATGTTGCAGACTTAAGTATTTCTCTTTAGTATTTTTCTGCTACCTCAGATTTCAATCAAAATACTGTCAATGATACCTCACCCTTATCGGATGGATGGATTAGAGTCTTTCCATGGATCAGTCTTTTACCCCTCTTCTGCGGCGGCCTTGCAGTCAACGTTACAAAATGTCCCGCCAAGGAAGAAAATAAGACTACCACCAGGGTGTTAGAGAAAACAGCAGTTTTGCTCTGTTCCCTCACTAAACGCAGGGTTTGTGATCCACTTTGAAACATGCCTAGGACCCATGAACGGTGGTAAACAACAGACTGTCATTCGCTTTTCATTTGGCTGCAGGTTCAGAGGTGTATGGTGATGTACGTGTAGTAAAGCGCTTTGTGAGCAGAGCAGATGAAAAGATATTGTTTAAAAAAAAAGTAGAAGCATCATCATTAGCGAGAATGATATTTTCACTTTGTGTATGTTGATGCCTGCCTAACAGTAACTAGAAAGAGAAGTGAGAATATGATGCTTCTAAAGTTTTATTTCATGTCTTGCCTACTATTTACCATGCTATATAAAGACCCAATCTGGAGCTACTTCAATGAAACTATTCAAGTGCTTAAAATTAAAATGCGTGAAAGCGTTTGCAGGTTTAGGGCCTATTTTCCTCACTTGACTGCCTCAGTCCTCCAGACAAATGCAAGCCTTGAGAAATGAGTGCCAAAGTTTTGTCCGTGACCAAAACAAAATGAAGGACTGGCATAAGGACGGGTTACTGACAGGAGCTGATAACAAGCTGACTTTGCTAATTACTGTTTTTAAAGTCCAAAGTCATTGGAAAAAATGACTAAAGTTACATTTCACACACCAACGACAAGCAAAAAGCTTACTGGAATGTCTGAGTCACCACTCAGAACACTGCTAATTACACGGAGATATATATTTTATACACTACATTGCATACAATAAACGTGCAGAGATGCTTAGAGGAGCAGAGTGGCTATTATTATACATGTTGTTTACCAGAAGATTTGAGGCTGGGTGAGATGACCCAGTGGGCTGCGGTTATAGTTCTGGTTTGTAGCTGATTTCGTGTGTTTGTTTTACAGAATTTGGAGCAAAGTTTGTATGTAATGATTTTCTTCCAACCTTGATTCACAGCATAGCGGACATATGGAACATGTCTAGCAAGGCTGCTCTACGCATGTGTGCACCTGCACGCATGTGCATACACACATATGTGTGTGTGTGTGTATATATATATATATATATACATAATATATATTTTTTTTATATATATATATATGATGTGTCTTCTAACCTATGTTTTTATGGTGCCTGGCATGAAACCTGGCACAACTCCTAGTGCCTCAGGAGTTGCTCTAACACAAATAGTAATTTTGCTATCTGTGTGTTTCAGCCCCTTCCGGGCAGTTTAACAGGCACACTGAGTGAAAGAAGCTGGAAACCAAAAACTGGTACAGCTTGAGCTGAAGTATTAGATGTGTTTCCATGACCTCCTAATTCGCATGGAGGGGCACGCAGGGCCACTGTCTCCCTGCGCGGAAGGTGCAGATTGGGCCAGCGCCAAGGGCAGCTTGGGTCTGCAACCGCGTGGCTGCCCTCGGGGCAAGGGGCCAGAGTGGGGCCCCTGCTGCGGAGGAAGGGTTCTGCACGTGTTTGCATATGCACATATGCCTTGTCTGCTAGGTGAGCCCTCGGCTGCCCTCCTGCACGCAGGTGTCTGTCACTCAGTGCAGCAGGGACTGAAAATACCAAGGTAACCAACAGAAGTGTGTTCAAAGGAAAGCGAAAGAAAACCTCTAAGCGCAGTTCTTCCTTTCAGAGAGGCGCCAGCAGATTTGGCTACACGAGATCTGGGGTGAAAGTCCACGCTGAAGCCCTGGCAGGCTCCTGCGCCCGGCTCCTCCGTCGTGGGGCTCTTCCTTTGCCTCTTCGAGAGGGCACCGCTCCTGCAGGTCCTGGGTCACATCTGCCAGCCTGGGCAGATATCTTGAGTGCCCAAAAGCACCTTCAAAGGTGATCGGTACCGGCATGTAGGGTGCTGCGTGCCTCCTTGGACATCAGGTGGGCTTCCCAGGCACCCCCAGGGCCCAAAGCTCCAGGTGTGGCAGGAGCTAAGTTTCCCGTGGGGTACGTGGACTGTGATCCAGATAGCTTGGTCCAGTCTTCATGGAGAAGCGTAAGGATATCCTGTCCCCAGCTCACCTCCTGAGATGCTGGCCCTGAGGCAGTGGGCAGAGTTCAACGCTGAAGCCAGGAACAGCCCCTGTAGTGGCAAATGCTGATCTTACTTTTGCTGGATTACCTTTGCACCCATGTGACCGAGCTTTCTCAACAAACGACAGGGGCAATTAAGGAGCTGAGGCCTCATTAAAGGAATGGGACTTATGGCTGGCAGCTGGCATCTTGAGCATAATTACCTGATAAGCATAAGGTATGACGCTTTGGAAAAATCCAGCATGGAAAGAGTTAGGAGCTTGGCTGCATAATCCCTTTAATAAGTTGTTTTGTCATGAGCCATATCGCAAACAGGGAGGTGCGGGGGGAGCGGAGGAGGAGGAGGTGGAAGATCTCTCAGAGTCACCACCGGCCGAGGCAGGGCGAGCGCTATAATTCGTTCATCGACTGGTGACTAATGTCATTATCTCTATTTTTCCCCCCTCCTCAAGCGGTTATGTTTCGTTTGCGGTTTGACCTCCTTACTCTTCTTTTGTTCAAAACATGCCCCCTTCCCTTTCCCTTCACCGCCTCCTGCCGCCTCCCTCTCTTTGTGATAGGTGCGATCTCACCCACCTCCGTGCTGCAAAACGGCTCCTAGGGCTTCTCGAGAGCTGTTGGTGCAAGGCCATGGATGGACAGGCCTACGTGGCAGGCCGGGAGCTGAGGGGGGGTATCTGCATCTGGGAGGACGAGGGGCAATTTATGAGCTTTAGACTCAAGGCCAAAACATTTCCAGCGCAGAGGTCTTTCTCCTCTAAAACAAACCCAGCCACGCAGCAATGTCTGTAGCAATGACCTCAACCCCTCCAGCTCCACTGGGCAGGCAACCAAAATTTCCCCAGCCCACACCAGACATGTCAAGAGAGGACAAAGTTGCATTGCAGTGAAGGTTTGTGTTATTTATTCATTTATTTTATTTAACCTCCCAGGAAAATAATGCCTGCTGGATAGGTGGTTTTCTGGCCCAAACTCCAAGCAACCACCGTGGCTTTTGTGGTGGCAGAAGGATGGCATGCACACACCTTCGAGGGCAGCAAGCCCGGCCCCAGGCAGAGGCGTGGTGGTTGTTTTCTCCTGCGGGAAGGAGAGCCAGACTTTTCCTCGTGAGCTGGCAGATACCACTGGTGTCAGAGGCAGGACATGCTGACAGGGAGCCTCTGCGAGGCCATTTTGATGTGGGCAGGGAGCCGGGGAAGAGATCTTTGAAGAACATCTCTTTTTGATGTTAGAGGGAAGAATAACATGACCCCGCTGATAGGAGAGATGTCAAGTATGCTGGGTTGATGAACTCACAGCAAAGACACTTAGAGCAAGTGTGGAGGGAGCGACTCGTATGACTAATCCCCTCCGTCCCGGGGGTTGTGTCTGTCTGGCCTCTAAACAAATCTGTCTGCCGTGTGGGGGTCAGACGTGAAGAAGGAGAGGACTGAGCAGACGCCACCAGCCAATGCAGCAGGCGCCTCCTGCGCGGAGCCAGAGCCGATTTCCTAAAAAAGGCCCCGTTGCC